TATGGATTTTTAATAATTAATAAATAATTTAAAAATTATTTAATATATTACATAATTAAATGTAATAGAATATATCAGTATTAAAAATTATATTTTTTAAAGTTTATTTTATGTATTAGTATTTTTCTTTTATTATACCTTATAATATTAAAAAGTAAAGGCCTAAATTAATACATGTAATTTATCAATACAAATTTTTAATTTGTGATTTTTGTTTCTAATGTATTATGTATCTTTTAGCTTATTCATTCTTTTATATATTTATAAAAAAATTCATTCAATAGTAATTTTAAATTATATAATAAGAAATCATAAAGAATATTCTTTTAAAATGCAGAAAATTTTATTAAAATCTAAAAATAAATTTAAGTTACAAATACATGTAATATATTTGTATGTATTAAAAATAAATTAAATTTTTTTTTCTATTAAATTATATAAAATACTAATATATTAATAAGTTATATATATTTTTTGAAGTAAAATATATATCAATAAAATAATCACAATCTCTAATCCAATCTACTTCTTCAATAGCCTTTTTCAAAAGCAAACAACAATCCACTTCTAATAGGAAGAATCATTTTATGATAATTATTAGAAGTAACTCTAATATCCTATTAGTTTTGTTAATTAGTTAAACAACTTTAATACTTAGTAATGATTTTTGATGTTGATTCTAAAACAAAATAGAAGAAACATTACATATAGATGTAAACATTACATATAGATGTAAACATTACATATAGATAGAAATATTATATATAAAATGATGTTACAATTATTTAAAAATATATCTTAATATTTGGACTTATTCTATATCTTATTTTGTTGCAACCTTTCTCCTCCTATAATCCCAAATAGCTTGTGGAGTGAATAGTATTGTGTTATGTGAAAATCAGTATAAGAATGCATTAAACATCTTGCTATAGAAGGATTTGATCTTACATTGAAGTTGGATTTACAACCTAAAAATAATGCATAAAGGTCTAAACTAAGAAATCATAAATAAAGCATAAAAGAAAATTAAAAGAAATCTTAAAGAAATAATAAAGAAATCTTAAAGAATCCTAATCAAATTCTAGCCAATCTTATAGTAATTCGAAGTAAATATTAATTAAATTCTAGTAAAAGCCAAACCAAAACTTAACCAAACTTTTAAAAAATCCTAATTAAATCCTAAATAAATTCTATAGAAAATTTAAAACCTCATTGATTATTAACTAAACTATTGATCTTAATTCAAATTCTTTCTAATTATCATTCTACTAATAAACAATAAGCACAATAAATTTGAAGAAAATTAAAATTAATAGATTGGGAGAAAGAACTTTTAATCTACTTGAGTGTCAATAATTTTCCTTTTTCAACCTTCAAGTCAATCTTCTAGTATGAGTATCTCTCTTTTTTACTATTTACTTACTCTAAATTGTTTTATAAAATTTGGAAATTAACTCAAATATCATCTCACAAAAAAATCATTTCAATCTAATCAAAAAGTTCGTAAAAATTATAGAAACTCTTTGTAACCCTCAAAATCCGATTTTGAAGACTTTAACCTACTTGAATCTAAATTTATCTTGATCTAATTGTCTAATTAAGCTTAATTTTACAACACAAATTCAACACATCTATTTTTACAAATCCAAAAAAAATTACTTATAGACTTACTACAAAATTCATACAATTTACTAAAACATAATTCTTTTTTATTCTACAAAAAAACAAAATCGTCCAAAAAAACTATGACTTTGCAAAGTTGTCACAAAGTTATTATCCAATCAAAATCTATTAAAACTAATACTACAAAAAATCCTACTGAATTTGATTTCTAATCCTACTCTCCAATCAACAAAATAAATCCCTCATTTATCATGGATGAATGGTTTTGTACATCAAGGTCTTGTTTTTATTGTGATTTATAACTAGTCTTTTTTTAATATCAATTTAAGATTTCTCTAATTAATTTTTTTTCAAAGCTATTCTTTACTTTTATGTATAGATACTCATAATAATATTTTTTTAATTTATTTTTTTCTTTTTAAGAAATTATATTATAAAAATTATAACATTAATAATAAATATATTTATTATCTTCCTAAAATTTTATATATATTTTTTAAATTAAATTTTTATCATATCTTTAATAAATCTATTACATAATATAATTTTTTTCTTTCACACAAATAAACATATGTCATGGACATACATATTTATTTACATAAAAAATATTAGATAGAAAATAAATATTAATAGATTTGATATTATCTTATTGCATAGCTTTTTAGAAGCTTCATAGATGCATATTTGACTTTATACATATTGATTGATATGTTAGAAACTTGATCAACAAAATAGCCATGTATTGCATGCATAGATACCTTGTAGTACAAGCTAACAATATGGTGTGTATATATGAAACTTACCTTACAAGTTAAGACGTATGTCTCATAAATTGAATATAAGTTGGAGGTCCTATAGAACGTTGTCATGTAGCTCTTAATTAGATAGTATATATGGAGGTAAGAGTGAAACCTTCTTTACTCTTGTCAATGCCTTTCTAGTCAATCTTATTTCAAGACTCTTCAATCTTCTTATCTTTAGCAATAGCCATTCTAGTTTAATACTATACCATCTTTGACTAATTTGTTAGTTTGTTTGAGTAATATAAGAATTTATTAATCTTTTAGTTCTTTAAAATTCATGTCCTTAATATCATAGTATAGTACAACAATATTGAATTAAATACAATCACTTTCATATTAATTGTAAGAATCAAATCAATCAATTGCATCACCAAAAAATAATAAAGTAATATGCTTATAGATGACATTGAGATAATATTTTTTCTTATAGGTCAATACTTTGTTGGTCTTCTTTTTTTCTTTAAAACTGCCACTATACAACTTAACATGCTATCTATAAAGTTGAAAAATACTTCTTAACTAATTTCTTCTTTTTCTTCTATTGTCTTTCATAACTCAAACATTCTAGATGATTAAGTTGGTTGAGCATTCAAACAATGTTTGAAATGCTTCTACAAGAGTTTTATTAAGTTGAGATCTAAAAACATGATCATTGTTGCAATTCTTCTAAATCAAGTTCCTTAAGCACTTTATTTTCTTTTGATAAATGAACTTTAGATAATTGTCTTGCTTGAAAATCACACCATTGATACCTAAGTTGTAATAATCTAAGGTCGTGTGAGAAATTTGATAAAAGATTCATATGCATTGTTGTATCACAATATAGTTGCTATGTCAAATTACTCCTAATTACATTATTGTATTGCAACTAAATTAAATTATTGCAAAATATAACTTCATTGTTAGTAGATAGTTGTACAATATTATCCTACAAAATCATTGCCTAGGTCTATTAAGTTTGCAATAAGAAAGCAAATTCACAAAATAAAATAGGAAGTTGCACTTTTCTATTTTATTTCATAACTTTACATCATATATGTTTATTTCCTTGAGAAATTACAACAAAATAGGGTCACAAGTTAGAAAATCAAATTAAAGTGTCAATAGAAATTATAGAGCGAATAGATAAAATCATATATTTTCTTTGTAATTAAGAAGATATTTTAATATACTAATATTAGAGATGTAAATAATTTTAGATCAGTTATTTTTACATAATAAAATCTTCAAATAAATGATAATTGATAAAACTTTTAGAGAATTTTAATTTACAAAAATAATATCTAAAAACTTGCATACCTATAATTTATGCATCATACACACAAAAATATAATTACACACTTATATGTAATAGACACCATAGTAAGAATAAAAATATTTTATTTCCTTTTTAAAATATAAATAGATTTTTTTTAATGCATAAAAGTGATTAATTTGAATATATAAAGATATGGTGTTATATTTAATTTTTAATAAGGCAATAGTAATATACCAATGCAAAAAAAATTAACTTATTTTTATATTAAATTAAGGGACTTGAGTTTGCCATAAATTACAATAAGACACATGTAGAATAAATAAAACCTTGTTTGATTTTTATTTTTATCAATTTAATATATTGAGGATTAACATCATAAAAAATCAATACAAGTATTAAACATGATATAGGTACCTCTCTAATAACTTGTTTAGAAAAAAACCAAAAATTAGTTAAAGCAAAATTTCTAAGAATTTATAAAATTTACAACTCAAAATTTGATTAAGTTCATATAAAAACATATTGTTAGTTAAAATAAATTAATAATAATAATATAAAAAAAAAAAAAAAAAAAAAGTTGTATAGAACCAGTTTAAACACAAAACAATTTCAAATGAAATGTACATGTAATCTATTGTAGGATTTTCAATAAGTTCTAAAACTTAATCTAAAATGTGTAGATTTGATAATGAGAGTGTATAAGATAGATTAAAAATATTTTGATCATATAACATACTATATAATTATATTTTTTTATAAAATTTTACAAATAAAACATCTGAATTTTAAACTGAAAATAAATTTTATTTTTTGTACTTTTTTTACTTTTTTGTACTTTTTTATACATATCAAATTCTTTTGATAAAACAATGTGAATTGTCACATTAAGTCCACAATGGAACATCAATTTGTAAAGAAAAAGATGTAATATTTATAAGTGCTACTGACATTTGATAAGCCCAACTTCATTTAAAGTATGCAGATTGAAATTGATTAATAGTCAAGTAGAAACAACTTGATGACTATTTCCAAACATGAATTTACATGTTCTATTCAATTCTTACATCATGGAATATATACTTGAAATGTACAATTTGACAAAGTGAAGAGTTTGTCTAGAATAACAACCTTTTTTATGTGCCAGGCGTCATCACATTTCTATTATGATTCTAGGTCTCTTATTTCTCGATTACAAACCAGGACGTGCGTTAATTATTTCAAGTGCCATCTTGTTTGTAAGGTTCACTAGGTTTTAAAATATATATAAATTTAGAATGCAGAAAACGATCACTCCCCAAATTATCATACTGTGAATATGATTTTTGAAAGTTGTGCAAAAAGAAGAAACTTGATGATGTTATACAATCATAATGACAAATGTTTTCGGCGGCTGCCTGTGTCTCTGACGCTAACTGCACAATAGCTCCTCTCTACAAACGAGGAAGCATTTGATCCTACTGCCTGATGTAGGGACCTCATTAAAACTAGCCTCCATTTCCTATGTCCATATTTTACATCATAAATCAATAATCAATGGGGTGTTGAATGAATGTCCCCAGATCTAGTCTATGTATGGCTCCCTGCTTGGGCTCGCAGAACAGCTTCAGTGTGTATCTATGGCACAGTTTTATGGTGACCCCGCACAGGAATATACTTAGCACATTAAGTTCCTATTGACAATCGTGGTGCCGAAATAATCAGCTGGTGAAAGAAAAGAAAGAAACACTCCCCGTTCAACTCGCAATTGAGACCCATGTGACGATCAATTGTGGAATGCATTGATCTGCAAATTTAAATGCAAGTGATTAATACCAATACTAGAGAAGTCCCAGTTATATGCACTGAAAATTGAAGATCGTGATGTATACTTGCAAACCCATGAAGAAAGAGTCAGTATAACGCATGCTAAGCTAAGATCAGAGGCCACTCGGAGCATTAGTACGAATTTCGGCAACATCTCCAGTGAATAATGGGAAGGAAAATGGTGAATACCATTAGAGTTCTGGTGATAATGCTTCGGAACTTTCCAGTGATCAATCGATCCAAAAGCCTTTTAGCACCTGCCACTTCCATATCCGCCAACTGACGCAAATGGTAACAAGCGCCGGCTGTCGCCATCTGCTTCCTGCATCTTGCACTTCCGGAGAGAGCCTGAAGAGCCGCAATTGGGTATTGCTTGCTAACTTCCTGAAGGCGTGTATCCAATAAAAGTACCAGGCCGACGATTCCCCAGTCCTCAGCCAAGAAGTGCGTTCTGTTCTCTTCGACAAGGAGAAGAAGAGCCAAAGCCTACAAAAAAATGACAAAAAGGTGATTCATCAGACACGCTAACCTTCGAAATCCACTCATGCTGAAAAGGACAAAAAAGGAGAAACGCATGTCGGCAACATCAATACGCAACATATGAAGTAAAGTTGCACCTGTGCAGAATACTCTTGAGCCGTGTTGGACTTCGCATCCAAAAGTTTTACCAACGGACCAATAACTCCAGCTTCGCCCAACATTCTCCTAGCCTCCGTAGAGCAAGCAATATGACAGACCGCGGCAGCTGCCACTATTTGCACAACCAGAGGTCCTGAGCGAAGACAATTAGCAAGACGAGGCAAGAAGCCAGCACTGCAAAGGACATCGATATTATCTCTGCACGCTGCCAAATTGCGCAACGCCCCCAAGGCGATTTCTTGAGCACACGCCTCTGCGGAAAAATCCAGGTATCTCAACAAAGGTTGAAGAGCTCCGTCTTCTACGATTCTCCATCTGATGCTATCGTCGGAAACTGCGAGGTTTTGCAACGTGGCGGCTGCATTTTCTCGCGCCATGGACGTCCCAGAAGACACTAAGTTGATGACAACCCGAATAGCACCATCTTCAACGATACTGCTACGAAGCTTTTCAACTGCAGCAAGGTTCCTTAAAGATCCCGCAGCTGCAGCTTGTGCGCCTGGTGTACCCACTCGGCACACTTCAATCAATGCAGAAATCCCCCCGTGAGCAGTAATCGTCCGGGCGTTTTCTTCTGAAATGGACAAACCCTGCAACCCGGCAGCTGCTCTCTCCTGAGCCCGTGAACTACCAGAGTCCAGCAGACGAACAAGAGGAGCTATGCCACCTTCCGCAACTACCACGTGCTCACAACTGTCATTTAATGCAAGAAAGCAGATAGCAGCTGCTGCTCTTTCCCTGATAGCAGGCTGACTGGCGTCTAGAAGGTGTACGAGAGTTGTCACTACACCCTGGCCAGCAACCATTAAAATATTTTTATCATCATCGGCCATAAGTCGAAGCATACTGTCGAGCGCTCTTTGTTTGCAATCAGCGCTCCCAATCTGAAGATGAGCGAGCAGGTCTCTTATGGTCCACCGGATAGCCTCCCGTGTCGACTCAGGAGTGACTCGACATATCGCTAATGGATTCTCTTGCATAGTACCGCTCGTAATCATCAACTGACAATCGTGAATATGAAGGTCGAGTTTCCCACATAGAGAATCTAAGTTACTCTGAGTATGAAGCTTTCCACCGTAACTTAATTCTGTACACTTCATGGCTAGATTGCGGGCTTCCTCTAGTGTCTCGCTCATGGCCTGCACAACACACGTTAGAGTGTCAGACCACGTCGAGTAGACTAAGTGGTTGTCAGGAAGACATGTCACGAGTACCTCTCTTAACGAGAAACCCCTTAGTCAGAGATCCATCTCCTGTTAGAATCAGTAGGAATGTGACCAAACAAGCACAAACAGAATGCGAAATAGTGTTGGTAGCGCCGGAGGCAATTAAGGGCTCCTACATTTGTTTTAAAGAACACGTAGTATCCAATAGGTTCTATCAGACTGTAGCCATTACCTTCAAGAGTTCCTTGCAGACAGCATTGTCGGAAAGGCAATGGAGGTGTGACATCTCGGTCAGAAGAGCAGGCAGCTGCAACAACCGATTTTCAATAGATTTCCAGCGACCAAGAAACGCTTTCACCGAAGCCGCGTCAGTAACCGCTAGTGAGGTCAAGTGTTGTGCCTGTCTTAGCCATGCCTCCGTAGTGTTCATGTCACCATACTGTACAACTTGCCTCTTAACCTGATGTTTTTCCTCTACAACATTCGCTTGCAAGACACCCATAGATCCTCTTCTCGTATACACCAAGCCTCACGTGCATCTCAGCTCGAGAGTCCACCACACTACAGGTGTAAAGGAATTACAAAAATCTTCACCCACCCCCTCAATCTTTATCAGAGTATCTACAATCTGACGTTACGAGCACAACAGCCACCACGCATCACCCTTTCCCACAACAAAAGGGCCCTTCACAATCAATCAATGCAGTAATTGAAGTTAGCAGCAATCCTCCAACCGCCTGCCGGCAACCACTTACCTAACAAATCTCTAAACACAGCGCCAGTACCCTCTGCCTAAACTAAAAGGCCTACGCCAAAACCGCTTGGCAACCGTTCAACCGAATCGAGCAAACCAACCAACCAAGAAGTCGATAGAGCTTTCCACTAGCAGTCCAGAAAACACCAGCGCCACGACAGAACCTCGACGGAATCAATCTACAACTGCTCTTCCACTTCTACAGCTCACACCAGAACCGAACAGAATTACAAGAACAATCAATCAATCTGCTTTTTAACTGCTAAATAGATTCGCTATACAAAATTGTCCGCCGGCTATACGTAAACCAGTCAGAGAAAAGACCGCTCCAACTACGACACAGAACCTCGGAAGTGTGAGCATAAAAAAGAGTAGCAAAGCGATCAGGGGATGAAGCGAGCGCAAATGCCTACGATGACGAGCAAGTGCCACAGATAACAAGCGAGAGAGAGAGAGAGCCAAGGAAAGCGAAAGGCGTCGGAAGGGCGCTTCAAGGCACGGCCTGCAAGCTTCGAGACACCACCACGACGAAGACGTCGACAACGCTGGCTCCGAAGCCCGCAGCAGAAGAGTGAAAAAAAATCTTTTCCCTCTTGTTCACTTTTACCCGCTCGTATTCCAATGTTCATTATATGAGCAAGCGTAAGTAAATCCACTCACTCTACGAGGAAAGTTACTTTGCTCTCTCTATAGTAACCGCGTCGTAATAAATTCCCCCCTCGATGCTGATGGGGGAAGTGATGAGAGCGGGCCGAGGCTTTTTTCCTGTGACTGTTCTGACAGAGTTACCGGTGGGGTTCATTAAAGTTGAACCGTTACTTTTTTAACGTCCGATACTTTCTTCCCCTGCGAGTGTAGTAACTAATGTCTTTTCCTGCCTCAGTCCTTCACGTCGAACGTCGTCGCAAAAAGTAAGAATATTCCTGTAGCTTTTTCACCTTTTGTGACTTTAGCTTTTTGAGGGGCATCCCATCCTTAAAGGTTTATCTTCAAAGCATTTGTATGTATATCCGCACTTGTAGTGTAATAAATTTTGATCATGGCACTCCATCATAGTGAAAATAGCCCCTATTTTATCAACTATTCGCAAGTCAAGTTATGTGTAGCCCAATATATAGTTTGAAGAACACAATTTTCAATATGTAAAGCGAATTCATTATAAAAAATTTAAAATTAAAGGAAATAAAAAAGCATGCAAGTGCTTTTTAGACACGTAGGCGAGCCAGGCATGCAAAACTCATAAGACGGAATATATCAACACGAATACGTAGTTCGAAGGGAACAAGGGGGAATAAGAATTGGGGCAAATATCCAGTTATCCGTGGTTTGACTTTGCTCTTTTCACACTTCTGCAGCTATTCATGAGAGCCAGCGGGATGCGGTCGGGGGGGACGGGAATGGGCGCCGCCGGTCCCGTTACGAGGGCGAGGGAAGGCGAAATTGCTTTGGCGGCTGCCATGCGTCAGCGTTCCATCAATGAGGACACGCAATCCAAGCCAATTTTAGGGCTCCCAGTTTTTCTTCCCTTCTTATTATAATTATCCCACATAAGATTCTCCTCCTCACTTATTTGCATCCCTACTTCAATTAGCTTCGTGGAATCACTTTCTCGATCTCCATTACTTGTGGTGGTATCGAATGCTTTCTATTGTGGTACCCATTTTTTTTTATTGCTATTCCCCATTCCTCTTACTTTGTCTTTTTCATTTCAATCCAGGGGGTATACTGGCCCTACCATTGCGGGTGGGTGGGTCCCATTCCCGTTGCACAACCAATGTGATGACAACCACCTCCTATCAATATTACCTGTAGCTGTCAAGTGCCGAGTGTGGTGAGCTGGTGTTTTTTTAACAACAAAATAAGAGCCAGCATTGCCAAGTTTTCGACGTGGGAAAGAATGCTTCTCTGTGGCCAAGTCCTTTTATTGTAAGAGGGTCGGTTGCTCATTCATCCATGTAATCGTACTTCTGTACATTCATACATTCATCCGTCTTTCAGACCTCTATGTGTTCTCATGATTCCCACAGCTCAACTTGGGTGCCCAAATCTCTTCTACTGAGCCTCCCTTTATTTATTTATTTATTTATTATCTTACTAATGGTTAGCAAACCCTGAATTCACGGACACGAATGAATATGGATTGCATTTTTTATGTTTTAAAAAAATAGTCAATAAATGTTAACAACTCTTTTGATGTAGAGAAAATCCCATATGTGTATATATGTATATAATACACATTCATGTACAAGTTGATGATAATAATGATAGCAAGGATGTAAAAAAATGTAAGGCCCAACTTGATGAAGTTTCTTCCAACAAGGATTTAAAAACAAAAATAACATAATATTCTATTCAATGTAGGATGCAACTGTGTACTTTGGACAATGGGGGATAAAAATGCATTTGACAAAAATGATAACAGCGTACTAAATCCAAGAACAAAAATACATAAGTCAAACAAGTGTTCATTATGTAAGAAATGCAGAAAAATAAAACCAAGCCATTTCAAAGTAGTCTGACTTGTAAATTTCAATGTGCAAGTGTTAAAAATTAATAGCAGTTTTTGAATCCTCATCAGAACACTCTATTTGTTGTTTCTAATAAACTAAAAAATAAACTCATTTTTACTTTTCCCAGTGACTTAGTAAAACTTGCATTGCCCTACATTAGGGTAACCAAAGTGCATGCATGTTGATATATATATATATATATATATATATTCATACACACACACACACACACACACATAGATGTGAGGTACCACTTAAGTGGTGCCTAGTACAGGCCATTGAGCAAAGTGGATCTTTGGCATGGGTGAGATAATTTGACAAGTTAATATTGGGAACTGTTGGAGAGATTCATTGTTTGACAGCAAGAGAGTTGGTCTTCTATAAAATAATAACAATAATAATAAAAATAAAAAGTGTATGACTTGTATGGCTTACTTTGACATTTGCACCCTCCTTTACTTATCTACATCTATTTCTTTTGATGTGGGTACTACAAGAACAAAGTGAGATTGGGTCCCAAAGTGCACCACATTACAATAGTCAGTGCCAAACTTTCCACTCCATCTTTTTTCAAATAAAATGTTTCTCATAACATCTTCACTTTCCTCCAAAGAACAACTTCTCAACTTCCTTACATTCAACATTTTTTAAAATATTTATGAGGGTTTCAGAATTGGGTCCAGGTCAGCTTGTGTGGAAAAACAAGTCTCAAGTTGGCTTCACATGATCCAAAGTCTCAACCCTAAAGTGGCACTTTAGTTACTTTATTAGGTGCATTTTGCCATGCAATGGTGCTATGTAAGGTAGTCCAATTTCAAAGAAACCCAAAAAAAAAAGCAACTAAAAAATAACTAAAAAACTATAAAACTAAATTACATCCATCCATACAACAATACATCCATCCATACATATCCTTTAATAAATATTTTCTGTCCAGTGGATTTTGGTCTTACAAGTCGTTGGGCCCTTTGTCCAAAACCATCCCATCCAATGGATGAATATTTCGGTTGGATGTCGGTTCACACGTGCAGGGTTATCATCCATGAGTCAACGAAGGTAAATTAGGGCCCTGAATGGATGGATGTGGTAGCGAATCGTAAATTATCATTCATCCATACGCGAAGGTTCCTCCAGCGTGCTCTCTCTCGCCCAGGGGAGACTTCCGCACTAATTCATTTAATAAAGAAAAAGAAAGTAAATAGTTAGAAAAGTTAACGGAAAAGGTTTATCCTGATAAAGTATGTACGAAGTGCATAAACTACTCCTCAATGGATGTGGTTCCCTCTTTTGGAGATAAAAGTAAAAAAAAATAATTTACGAAAAATGTTTGAAAATATTAATAATGATCAAAATAGTAGATTATTAAAATTGAAGATGATTGGTTGATATGTAATCTAACACTTGCATTCAATGTAGCATTCAAACTGTCATCCATGTGAAAATTGTAAGACATTAAATGTGTTTTTTCTACAAACTTACATTCATGATTGAATTCTCCATTGTTCATTCAATGAGAGGGATGTGATATTAGTATGTGGTATAACATACTCTTTAGGGAACCTACTCTATTACTGATGTTTCTAATTATATTCGAATGCCAGTACTTCAATGGAAAAAATTAATAATAGATTCATTATAGTTAAACTTGAAAGTGTTGTTTCATTATTGGTTTCAAAAACTTCATATATTGAATCAAACGTAATTTAATCAATTTTATTTGTGTGTATGTGTACACACACGATCAAAAAAAATAATAACCCATATTACTTATTTTAACATTTGTACTTGAATTCTAAAATTATCTTGATCATATTGAGTATTTTATTATTTGATTATTAAATAAACAATAAATGGTATGATGAACTTTTATTATTATTATTGAATGAATTGTTGTTTTCAGATCGATCTGTTTACAAGATGCGTAAAGTTGTTTTGCAAAACAAATTTTGAAATGTGAACTGATGCCTAAAAATATTCGAAATTTCAATGTTTGTTACTGCAATTTCTATTAATAGATATAGCAGTGAACAGTACATGACTAGATTTTAGATTAAATAACCATCAAATTTTAATTTGTATGCTATCAGATTTAAAGAAAAAATCTAAAATATGTGATTATAGTTAATAACAATGTTGAACACTTCAAAAAATTATGATAACTCTGATGTTTTTTTCATTGTTGCTAAAAAAAATGAGGTGTTTTTCATAAATAAATTAATGATAAAAATATTCTTGAAAAATATTTTTAACAATGAAATTCATAATATTATGTTAATTACGGGTTTTATTATTTCTGTATATAAAAACTCACTTCTTAATGTTCAACACACACTGGCAAAGGAGGACAGAATATGTCAAGTTAAATGTAAGAATCTTCAAAATGATGTTATGATCATTTTCAAATTTATCTTTTGCTACCACGTTATTTGCTTATTTGGCATGAGGTTATTGTGTAGATAGATTTTAAAAAATTAAACCAACTAAAATAATAAAGATTACATAGAAACTAATAGAGTATAAAGAATACATTTTTAATAAATTTCTGTCTTGTTGTAATGAGTTTGTATTTGAATCAAGTATAACAATCAAATATTGTTCAACTTCTCTAATACTTGATTTAAATACAAACTTTGCATAATGTGTTGCACATAGCATTACTTTTAAGAATGATGAATTTAAAGTCAAAAACAGATGTTGTATGTAAAATCAATATTATGAATCTATATATATATATATATATATATATATATAATTAATTAATAGTACATGATAAAATGTTGCCGTGGAATGTTTTTATGACAACTAGGATAAAAGATTAACAAATTATACAAAACCATTATCCATAATGAATTTGTTGCTCCTATTTTAAAAAAGAAACAAATTAAAATCATAAGGTACTGACATGACAAGGTTTATTTATTTACAATTAAAAAAGTCATCACCATTTTTAATTCATGCTACAATTTCTTTTAATTTTATTGTATAAATTCAAAAGTAAGTACCTTTTTACT